TTTTTTGTTTGTTTGTTTTTTAAGAGAACAAGGAGAGATTAACTTGGATAAAACAGGGGAAGGTAACTATGCCTAAATAACTAAGGGGAAAGTAGTCAGATAGTCTGACAGGGAGCTCCTGGCTGCTCCGTCCGCTGACGAGGGCGGTTAAAGAGGAACTGAAAGGGAGGGGGTTGAGCGGGAAGGGCTCGAGACGCCTCCTGGGCATGCGTGGCTCAACAGGGGAAACTGATATACAAAGCTCCGATCTGCGGCTCAGGGCAACCCTTCACCTACAGTGGAGCACCCACAGGGACACTACTTGAAGAAGAACTATGATTTCTTAATATAATTTGAGCCTGCATTAGGAATGGGAAACTGCATATAAAGGGTGTGCCCGGAGACTACTTGGCTACTGAATTTAACTCTATACTCAGGACCATTCTTACCTATACACAGATTATGCAGCTGCAAAGGGCCCGCAAAAATTTGGGGCACAACTGGATCTTAATGTCCACCCACGCCCCTCTTCCTATCCCTGTTCTGTGGCTCTGCTTCCTTCAGAAAGGGTCTAGTTTATTTAAATGTGAAAAAGCCTGCTAGACTTTTTATTAGCAGGCACTGAACCTGTGAAAGAGCCATTGAAGTGGTAATGAAGCCATTTAACAGGCATTTGTCAACCCCAGAATAGACTATCAGTTTCTGAATTTATTGTGTTAGTCTACAGGACCTTGCTTTAACATTTTCTCTAAAAATATTTCATTAGTGTGCTGCTGAAGATTATCAAATCATATTTCTAAAAAATCATCATCTCCCCCTGCCCCCCAGCGCTGCTGTTGGGCACAGGGCCATCAGTTTACTAGTACGTTGTAAGGCCCCTTAAATCCTAAGGGTGTGCTATATATACTAACTGAAGTCTTACGGTGCATATTAAACAGCAGCACTTGATGAAATGGGACTTAAATGTTGCATTATCACATATTGTATCTTCACGGAAATCTAGAGAAATTTTACTGATCTCAATGAACTAAGTCAGGTGGAGCTAAGGGAAGAATGAGGCCCTTTAATTCTGGACTACAAAAATCACTGCATCTGCCAAAACCACAGAGAGGTTTGCCTTCTTACCAATGTTTTTCATGAGGCTGATGTGGTAGTCATCCTGAATCTCTTCTGTTAAACTATAAAGCAAGTTCTCCAGATTTGGATCAGTGAGAAAATTATTTGGAATCTGCTTCAAAATCATGTCCTTGACTTCTTTATCTTGGGGTGCCAACATGTCTTTCCTTATTCCATTATGTATGTAATAACAATATCTCTGTAAAAATAAAAATATCCTTATTATATTGACAGTTAAGACAGAGAACTAACTATGGTGAAATATTTTTCAGGATTTTTTAAAAAATCTCAACCTGTATTTAGTTTTTATATATGTTTTGTCTGACACATGTAAATCGTTTTCCAATTTATGCTTAGTTTAAGTGACATAACTATTCATATTCATACTCCTGATTATGATTATCTTCACTTTTCTCAATTTAAAAAAGTTAAGCTAATACCTCTATATCGCTTTCTGTAGGTGACTCTTCTTGCTTATGTATCTTCTCCTCATGTTGGAGCATGACAACAAGCTGTTCTTCTGGAGTCAGTGGTTGGCTATCTGAATAATGTATGATGTCTAATTCTGGACTATCTCTATCAGAATATACTGAACCTGAACCTATACTGTACAGTTGGGTTGGTGTGGTTCTGAAACAAAAGAGCACCAGTTTAGTAAACTTATAACTAGAGATGCATTCTCATAACATCCTGGCCAAATTCATGACTCGTTTTCCACTGGCATTATGCTGAAAACAAAAATGTCTTATTCTATAGTACTTCAGCTATTCATGAAGCTGTAATAAAGCCATATATCAAATTGCTTCATTGTAAACAATATGCATGTTGCCTTATTCCCGGAGGGTACGTCTACACTACAGCGCTAATTCGAACTAACTTAGTTCGAATTAGTTAATTCGAACTAAGCTAATTCGAACTAACGCGTCTAGAACTAAAAACTAGTTCGAATTAGCATTTTGCTAATTCGAACTAGCAAGTCCACATTGAGTGGACCCTGAACAGGGCTTAAGGATGGCCGGAAGCAGTGCCGGCAGGGCATCAGAGGAGGACTTAGAGCATGGAGATGCTGTCTCAGGCTAGCCGAGGGCTGCGCTTAAAGGGTCCCGACCCCCACCCCGGACAGACAGTTCTCAGGGGTGCCCTGCTTGAAAACCAGTCCTGGCTTGGAGTGCTCTGAGTGCCCACACTGGGTACATCACAGCACTCGGCCATCAGACCGGCTGCACTTGCCGCAGGCTGCCATCTGGGTTGAGGGGGCAATTGGGGGCTGCAGGAGAGCTTCCACCCACAGAAGCCCTCAGAGCCAGCCCAGTCCTCCCCATCAGGGGCTCGTACCCCATTCCTCCCTTAAAGCTAATGTTTCTTCCAACATTGACTCTGTCTTTATTGAACAAAACTGGGGGAGACTGGGAAAAGGAGGTGGGAGAGGGGAAGAGAAAGGCTGGGAGAGGGGAGGGCAACTAACATGATCAGGGGTTGGGAACAGGTCCCAGATGAAGAAAGGCTACAGAGACTGGGACTGTGCAGCTTAGAAAAGAGGAGATGGAGCGGGGACAGGATAGAGGTCTCTAAAAGCAGGGGTTGGGTGGAGAGGGTGCATTCAGAAAAGTTCTT